CCTTTACAACTCCAACAGGTATTGTGTTGTGTTTGATCCCTTGGATGGATCCTCCAACATCGACTGTGGTGTCTCAATTGGAACTGTATGTTTGTCAACATGTGCTTTCAAGGAATTTGAACATATAGATCCTGATTCAAGAAATTATATGATAATGCTGCCATCATTGATAATCTTCCCTTTTCTTCTAGATTTTTGGTATTTACATGATTAAAGATCACAGTGAACCAAAATTAGAAGACGCGTTGCAGCCTGGGAAGGACATGGTAGCTGCTGGCTACTGCATGTACGGTAGCTCTTGCACGGTATGGATTTTCCATTCTGTTACATATGTCTACCTTCTGTTTTTGTTTTGTAGGAGATCTGAAAATTGTTATGAATACTATTAAGGCTTTAGGAATACATTATGTGTCTGATGTGGTCGTGTCTTTCATGATCGTAGCAACTAAGGGTAGTTGTTTCATCCTTGTGATTGATGACTTACAGCTTGTGTTGAGCACTGGAAGTGGTGTTAATGGATTTACTCTTGATCCATCTCTTGGAGAGTTCATACTGACTCATCCAGATATTAAGGTAAAAAAAGTACGTTAACTGCGTAGAAAATGTCTTGTAACCATATACTTTCTTCTGATCGGCCTCTTTATTTTGCATTGTTAAGCAAATGATTACTCCAAAACGTGGACAATTGCATGCTGTCTGGTGCATAGAATACTACTGATCACTAAGAGTACATGGTATCAATGCGAATCCACTGACATTCTCCAAAAATCCTCATGTACTTGTTGGAGCAATAGTTCTGTCTTTCTTGCTCTTATTACCGCTCCTTCCCTTGCGATCTGTCCAGAACGTTATCTTGCAGCATATTCATCAATTTCTTAGCATGTTAATTATAACAACTTAACCATCTGTAAACACACCATTTGTGAGTGATAATTTTGTTAAGTCTTACGTGCACCTGAAATTTATATTTTTTTGTCCAAATTCTTACCATGTTTAATGTAATCAAGGTTTTATTAGGTTCCAGACAAATTTGCATCAGTTTGTTCATACTGCCTGATCTTGAGATTGTATAATTAGGTCTCTGATTTCTTTTCCATAATTTTTTCTGTTTGGTTTGTTTAACTGGTCTCAAATTGCGCTTTTTCTGCTCAGATTCCAAAGAAAGGAAAGATATACTCTGTAAATGAGGGAAATGCAAGGAACTGGGATGCTCCGACAGCTAAGTATGTCTAAATGCATGTAGAAGTCAACATTGCCTTCATCTCAGGTCTAACATATTTGAATTTCAGGTATGTGGAGAAATGCAAGTTCCCAAAAGATGGTTCATCAGCTAAATCATTAAGATACATTGGGAGGTACTAATTTCTCTTCTCGCAGGCTAATTCTAAAAGAGACAACATCAGTAGGGGTCTGCTGGAGATTTCTTTTATCCATACAACTTCAGCAACCTTTCTGTTCCCTTTCCCCTTTAGCCAAGAAAATGAAGAAACAAGGCTAGAATCTTTGAAGAGCTGAATTCTGTAAAAGTCTGGATTCATGAGAAAATTCAGCATTAATGAGATAAGACAACCTCAATCCTCTAATTTCTTATACTTCAATATCATTTGCAGCATGGTAGCCGATGTTCACCGGACATTGCTCTATGGAGGTATCTTTTTGTATCCAGCTGATAAGAAAAGTCCTAACGGGAAATTGAGGTAAGTTTCATCTTTCTTGTAAACATACCAAGGATAAATCCTTTTTTCCATTCATAACTATGGGTATTAAGGAGCTTGATTGAAGCAAATATCATCCAAACCAATAAATTTGGTGCACCTCTGAAACAGAGTTCTATATGAGGTCTTCCCGATGTCTTTCTTGATGGAACAAGCTGGAGGACAAGCATTTACTGGGAAGGAACGGGTAAGATTGCTTAACTTTAATCTGCGTGACATAACAACTGTAAGAGTGTGGATGCATTTGTTCTTTTTTGAGGAGAAACACCTCTTAAACCAATCAAAATCAGGATGTCCTGATGTGTTTGGTATGTAATGAAAAATATTCTTATCGCAGGCACTTGACCTAGTTCCAAAGAAGATTCATGAAAGATCACCAATATTTCTTGGTAGTTATGATGATGTTGAAGAGATCAAAGCACTTTACGCTGAAGAGCAGAAAGCATAGATATGTGAAACTCTTTTACCTTGTTGATTTGGTCCATCTGGAGGCTTTGACTGCTAATTTCTTGGAGCAAAACAAACTGTTCGTTTAGTTTTTCTTTCAAGTTGCAAAACTACTGTATTGCGGTAAACTCTGTGTGTCAAGATTGTGGTTCATGTCAGTGACTATCACAACTGACATAGAGATGCACTATGCACATATGTTGACATAAAGAAGCATGTGTAGATTTCTACCTCATTATTCACTTGTACATCTTTACTGATTAAAACATCTTCTTTTGGTATACCGTACTAAAAATTATTCTTACTTAAAGTTAAAACAATTCGCAATCTGTCAAAGAAGAGAGAGCAAAAACTTACCTATACACCGTGCAGCTTCCCTTGTAACTCCTATAAGGCTCTAAGCAATCTGAAAAGGGGGTGAATTAGGTTGTTCACAAATCAAGCGAATGGTTATAAATTTTTGCCCAATTTTGTCATCCAAAAATAGCTTAAGTAATCACATGCTCAAGCATATAAAGTAATACAATAGAATAAAAGAGAAGCGAGCAATAAAATAAAAGAAACACAAACCAATTACACTTCCAAACTTCTTCCAAATTTAGAGTTGATTCTTCTACTAGTAGTTTCTTCAATTGATGGCGTAGCAAGCTATCTTATACAGACGCAAGCTCATTCTTTGCTCGCTCTGAATATTCTTTAGTTGAGTTAAACAGTTTTATAACTTTACTCAAGTTAATGTTAACTATCCTACAATTGAATGCCCTCAACCAATTAAGAATTACAAAGAGGTTCTTCCAATGTTGGTCATACAAATCAGCTCGTACAAAGAAGGACTCACCCTTTGCTTGCACTAAGTTTCCATACTCTCTAGTTGAGTCAAAGAGTTTTACAACTCTCTAATTAACCTTATCTAAGCTACAATTGAATGTCAACCCAACCAATGAAAAATTCTTCTCACATTTCGACCTCACAAAGAATATATAAGTACACACATAAAGAGTAGGAGAAAGAGGCAAGGAGAGAGGGATGAGAAGGAAAAAGAGAGAGGAGGAGAGGGAAAGAGACCTCCAACGCCAGCGAGACGGTAGGCTAGAAGGGGAGGGTATTGGTAGAAGAGAAATATGACGTGTATTTTTTATGTTTTTAGGTGTGTATTTTAAAACTTTAGTAGAGTATTTTCTAAGGTTATTGTAGACAAAATTGTTAAAAAGTTTATATAATAAAACCCCATCAAAAAACAGGCTTCCAAGTACACCGACATTTTGTCAAAATATTTTTTCTTCTTCCAATTCATGCTCTTGTTTTCAGTCAAAATGTGAAACTGCTACGGATTTTCGTACCCTTGGAAAGGCAAAGGGAAAAGATAAGGAACTACTTGGGTATTCAACTTTTGGTAATTTGTTGTAGCAAATGATACAAGCAGAAGTTTGAAAAGTATAATAATGTAAAATATCTAAGGCGGCTGCATGATAACTTATAGACGCGTAATCCATATATTACATAATATCTTGAGTTAATATATCTGCTCTTTTTTGTTGATCTGCTTGACATTTGTAACAACTTTCCTGTTTGATTTACAGCGTATATTTGGTACCATGAAAATCTTGCACACTAAGCTTCAACCAAAGATTCCCACTAAGGTTCCTTGGTCAATGTCTATGTACTTATATGTTCTAGAAGCTCCAAACAAATGCAATATTTTTGAGTTTGAAATAAGATTTGGATTTCAAATTCAAATTCGAATTATGTATCATGCATTCAACGGTGAAAGTATATATACCGTCAGGATATAAGACATTATCTTACACGAAAATAATTGTATATGAAATCTCACTTGTAAAGCAAAATTGACATCTATGAGGGAGTTTCAATGATTTAGAAGAGCTGTATCAGGTAATTAACTCAACAAGCATATAATTTGAGGTTAATCACACTTGGTCCCCCTAAACTTTAGAGATAACTGAGTTTTACTTCCTTCAACTTTAAAAATATATGCTTCACTCTCATGAAAACTATTCAAATGTTAGAAATGTATATATTATTGCAATGAGATTATTGCCCTTTGATTTATGGGTTGTTATTACTTTTCCTTTTATTGTTAAATCATATACGTTATCTATATGGCATCCACTGTACAAGAATATCATATTGATAAAAAGCTAAAAAAAAGTTTACATTTAGTTTATTATCCTTAAAATTTTTTTTGTTGGATTAATGTTCATTTTTTAATGTATTTTTGTTTAATTTATTAGATTTTAAATCATAGAATAATGATAAATAGCAAAGATTATTAAACTTGTTATTTTTAAAAAATAGTTTTTTCTTATATTAGTTTATGTAAACCGTTAAAATTATATTATTGTCATTTTTTATTTGTCAAATTAGTCAATTAGTAAATAATTAACCAAAATTTTATAAACATGTTCTTATGCATTATTTTTAAATTTAGAGGCAAAAATTGAAGATTAAATCAAATTTCAATTTTTTTGGGCAAAAAAGGGCAATCATAATAAACTAAAATTATTATTATTTTTTAAAATTTCGGCAACAAAAGAGCAATGTTGTGATAAGTCATAACACTCACCTATTTTATTGTTTGGTAAAGTTAAGAATTTTAATCTTGACTTTTATCCAAAGGCGCTGAAATGTATATATTTTTGAGGTTGAGAGTCATAAAATATGTATGATTAGTCTCAAAACTCAGGGGGCCAAAGTGTTATTAACCTAAATTTTAAACTGAAATAGAAGAAGATAGAATAATTTTTTAAATTTCCACGTGGCAAATAGATACTATTCAAGATTGGAAAAAACCTGAATCTGACCAGCACACCGAATCTGCCCCTTCTTCATCGTCCCCTTCCCCACCTGCATAATTTTCCCCCGGCATTTATTGAACTTCTTTAATCATTTCGCCCACAAACTCTCCACCGATCCAAAACTCCACACGCACAAACACGTTTTACTGCGTGCCCGCCTATACATACACATTTCTGTATCTACACATATTTTTTAAAAATATTAAAATAAATAAGATCTCCAAAACTGCAGTAATAAATGTCGAGCGACAGTGACGACGAAGACGAGCTCCTGCAGATCGCGTTGCGCGAGCAGGCCGAGCGCGATCTCAATTACCGCAAGCCGTCTTCTCAACAACAACCTGCGAAGCCTGTTCGGAATTACGTCCAGCCAGCGCCGCAGCGAGCTCCGGCGCCGGCGGCGGTGGCGGCTGGGAGGAATTCGAGTTTGAATTCGAATGTAGCGACGGGAAGGATGCAGCAGAAGAGTGGGAGTAGTAATAGTAATAGGAGTGGGAGTAATCAGGTGCTGCAGCAGCAGCAGCAGAGGAAGGTTGTGGAGGATGATGATGATTCGGAGGTGGAGATGCTTAGCATTTCGTCCGGCGATGAGGATTCCTCGTCGAAAGACAGGGCTAGGTTTGTGGGGAGAGGACGGGCTGGGAGCGGAGGAGAGAGAGGAGGGAGGGATGATGATAGGTGGGATGGTGGTGAGCCTGATTGCTGGAAGCACGTTGATGAATCTGAGGTGAAGTTTTGAGTATATACTCAGCAGTTCTTGTTGGTCCCATTTCAGAATTGTTCTGCTTCCTTTTCAGCATTCAGCTTATAGGTGTCAATATGGTCTTGCCTTCCCCTTCCTATAACAAAAACAAAACATCCTGGATGGATTGATGTAATTTTCATGTTTTGGTGTATTTGTTTTCATTTTTGGTGATACCCCGACCCTTATGCACACTCTAGGCGTTTCAAGTAATTTGTTTTCTCATGGTTTATACCCACATCTTTTTTATTTTCTGATTTTATAATTTTGGGAGAGGTGGGAAGTTGGGGAAGGGGATGTTTGGATCAGTATTTACTGGAGTTTTTTGTGAGAATTATGGTTTTCTAATTTAAGGCCTGTATCGTGCTCAATGATAGTCTTTCGTGCTTATTAATTCTTATGAAGTGAAGTGAAGTAAGCCAATGCTGATTGGCTGGGGCTCCTTTTTGAATTAGGGGAAACTCTTTCGCCTAAACTTTAGTTAGTATACTTCATTTTGGTAAATGGCATTTTGAAATAAAACTTTTTGGCCAGTTGGGACGGCGGGTTCGTGAGATGAGGGAAACGCGAGCAGTCCCAGCTGTTCCAAAGATTGAGGCAGCTGCATTGGCTAAAAAGGGGCTTAGCAGTCTACAGTCGCTTCCACGTGGTGTTGAGTGGATAGATCCTCTTGGATTGGGGTAAAGTTTTTTTGTGCTGGTAATGCTGCAGCGCACCTCTCACTGTTTGTTTCTACTCATCTGCTTTTGATTATTATGTTTCAGGATAATTAATCACAAGACATTCAGGTTGATGAGCGATTCAGGACCCCCATCATCCATGGCTGATAAAGAACCTTTAGATGCCAATGCTCGTGGTATGCAGCTTTAACTAGAACCTTCTTTACTGATGTTAACCAGAACAAGTTTATAAAAAAAATCTGAACATCAGATACTAGATTGGTAAAGAAGTCTTAGCTGATATATCAGATACATTAATATGAAATAATTTTCCTTGTCAAAAGTTGCATTTTTTTTGTTTGGTCATCTTATATTGCTTCAATAGAATTATCAAATAATCTATAAAAATTGTTTGACATTTACATTTGTCTGTTACACCAGGATGATTGTAAGTTTTGTACTCAGTGGTAACAGATCGATTTCCATATCTTTGAAAAAGAGTAGCTTTGCTATCTGGGCAATAGAGGAAGTTTATTGCTCATATGTCTTGACAACAAATTCTTAACTTCCCATTATTTTGCTGGACTTTTCAATGTTTATTCCAATTTGAACGTAGTTAATATATTTAGTTGGATAGAATCCCCTGATTTCAGGCTGAGTGACCTGCAAACACCTTCAGCGGAGCTAAGTAGATGTATTGTTTGAGGACATGGAACCATTGACCAAACAATTCATGCTTATGCATTCTATACTGTTTTTAAGGCTTCAGAAACTTTAAGTCCTTTTGTTGCTTTATATTTGGGGGCACGCTTCTTTTATAGGGTTTAGAACTTTAGTGCATCTTTGATCTGTCACCCTTCAGGTATGTTTGATCTTTATTGGAGTTAAGTTGTGTATATCTGCAGGTTGATTGAGGTTCATATTAAGGTATGTATGATCTTTAGTGGAGTTAAGTTGTGCATATCTGCAGGTTGATTGAGGTTCATATTATGGTTAAGTGACGGAAGATGTTAATAGATTGTTCAGTGATACAGGACAAACCCCAAAATCTGAACTTTACTAATGCCAGCAAATTATATGTGGGCGAAACTTAAAGAAAGCAAGAAAAAAAGGTAGAGCAGAAAGCTATAAACCTCGGCAAGGACCTTGTGGAAGTCTCAACAAGAGGAGTTAATGAAAATATCACCTTTAAAGTGGCAAAAACTGCAATAGTCTTTTTCTAAATTTGACACTATGGCAACTTGTCAGCCAGAAGGCTGGCTTCTTGTCTTATGGTGTCCTAAAAATGCTTTAGAACAAAGCAAATTGAAGAGAAGAATGGGCTCGTGGATTTTTTTTTCTTGTATTTGTTTGCTCATTTTTGTGCCTTTTCTATTTAGTTCTATACTCGTTCCTTCTTGTTGGAGTTTTTTGCATTTGTGTATGGCAACTAAGACTTGCATCAAGGAGTATATATTAATTTTGGGAATCCCTGAGGTCAGAGGAAATATTAATTTGTTGCCTTAAAAGTGAATGTTGCTCTCATGTAAAATTTTTTGACGAGTTCCTCTTGGATGATTTAGTTGGTCCTATTTACGTGTGCATTAGCTGAGTGACATTTTTAGCACACAGTAATCTTGAGACTTGGTCAAGCTTATTAATCCAACAATGTAAATGGTTATTTTTGTGTACTTTTGAAATAATGCTAGTTGAGATACTCTTTGGTTCTGTATCAAAAGAAAGGAATATAGGTATTCTTTGGTTGTCTATTTATGTGTTCTATTTCATTTCTTCTTTCACCTTTCAACTATCTTACTTCTCTCCCTTGACTTCCTTTTCTTCATCAGTAGTTAATGAGAAATTTTGCTGATCTTTAATTTCAGAATCTATCAGCATTTATTGATGCATTTTAGCTTTTAGTTGTTTTGTTTTTTAAGTATATAATATGTCATGAAATATAAGAAGTTGAGAACAAGTATTGGAGTTAATGGTTACCAAGTCTCACTGTATTACTTATTGTCAGTGGTGACACTGGGTAGTCAGTTCCTTATAATGGCTTCAATGGATATTGCAGATAGGTTAAATTATTACTCAGAGAAATTTGAGTCAAGGCTTTTTCTTTCCCGAGTACATTGTGACACTAGTGCAGCAGACTTGGAAGCTGGTGCTTTGGCTTTGAAAAATGATCTTCAAGGGCGTACACAAGCAAAAAAGCAGTTGGTGAAAGAAAATTTTGATTGTTTTGTTTCTTGTAAAACAACAATTGATGGTGAGTATTTTGCATTATCAGAATTCATTTTCATTTGCATACAAAGTCTGGATGATAATCAGACTAACTTTGCTGATAACAGATATTGAGTCAAAGTTGAAACGAATAGAAGAAGACCCAGAGGGTTCTGGGACGTCTCACTTGTTTAATTGCATACATGGAGTCACTTCAATTGCTAATCGCGCTTTTGAGTCTCTATTTGAGAGACAGGTTAGTAGGATGTTCGATACCATACTGATTTTGGAGTTTGATCCCTGTACAGATGTCCAGTTCAGGGGTCTTGATTTTCTTCTTTCACTCTATTTTTCTTATCTTCCTTTTGCAAATTGACAACTTTAATTTGCTATGTAGGCTCAAGCAGAAAAGATCAGGTCTGTGCAAGGAATGCTGCAGAGATTTCGGACTCTATTTAATTTGCCAAGCGCAATTCGTGGGAATATTAGCAAGGGTGAATATGACTTAGCAGTTCGGGAGTACAGGAAAGCGAAATCCATTGTTCTGCCTTCCCATGTACAGTATCTGTCCCTTATTGCAGAGTGTTTTCATTCTAGTTATCGGCATAATATGAGTTGCAAATTTCATTAAGTGTATCTTGTTCCTTTATTTTTCTTTTTATAGGTTTTAGTTTTCTCAGTTTGTTAACGCATATATGTGTCAAGCTCAACATCTCTTTTCTGGTCACTTGGCTTGTCAAATTAATTCAGTTTTGTTCATTGTGTGAATAAGCTGCGGACAATCACAAGTTCTATGACTTGCAATCTTTTGCTGGCTCTTATACTTGGTATAATCTTTTTCTTTTGAATTCCTCCTAACGAGGCAGATATCCTTTCTGATTACCAAGAACCTGGGAAGGCTTTGGAGAATACCATGTCTTTACCTGTCATTTAGTACTTTAATGTTTAAGGAACTGAAGTTCCTAGCCTGGTAAATAGGGATGCTAGTTGTAGGCGACAACATCGAATCTACCTTCCACCATTGTTTTGAGACTTCAGAGTGACACAAATAAATCTAGACATACTTTGATTTTGCTTTCAATTGTAAAACCTTTTGCTTTTATGTTCATATACTTGATATTGGGCAAGGACATGTCAATGGAATGGTTTCTTGTTGAAATTAGTCATGCTTTTATCATAATTTATAGATCTTTTTTTTTTTTAGCTGGAGCAGGGTCAAAAATTTCGATAATTGATAAAAGCATGACTAACAAAAGTTAGAGCCAGTTTATCTTATTATAGCTAATTTGTGCCTTCATTATAATGCAAAGTGAAGAATCTGTCTCTAATAAGGGATATGCATTATTGCGTCCATAACATTTGTATGCTTTTGGATATTATGTTTTATTGATAAACGTCTTGTTACGAATGTAATGAAGCATGCCTTAATGTGTAAAGAAACTACAAGTTAGATCCAATGATACTAGATGTTTCTATAAGTATGCCCTGTTTGGTTACTTACATAGCACATATTACAGGTTGGAATTCTTAAACGTGTACTTGAGGAGGTTGAAAAAGTAATGCAAGAGTTCAAGGGCATGCTTTATAAATCCATGGAAGATCCGCATATTGAACTGACAAATGTAAAGTTCTTCTATCCTACTTTTGAATTCTGTGTGCATGAACATCAGCAAAAAATAAGGATTAAAATATGCTTGTTTCTTCCAAATTGTTTGTTGAAGTGAGTTTTATGCCGTGAATTGGCAAATGTGAAAATTAAAGATTGGAATGCTAGTAAGGTGTCTCATGGTTTAAGTTGGATAGTACATGCAGATATCTTTCTGAAGTGACTTAAAAATTTCTGATCATTATTACAGGACTGTAGAATTGGCCTGCTTACTGGTAAAAATATTCTAATCAGTATTAGAGGACTGTAGAATTGGTTAAAAAAAAAAATCTGATCAGTATTAGAGGACTGTATAATTGGCCTGCTTAGTGGTTTATGGCTTGCTAATGAGTCATTTCCCCAAATAAAACTGGAATACAGTTTCTTTTGTAGTGTCACACGCATAATAACCTAAGAGAAAAGCAATATGGTTTGAGACAAGGTATTTTGTTGGTTGTGTTGGAAAAATTTATATTCTGTGGAAAGGACAGATGTGCAACGGCAGACACACATATGGCTTAGGCCCAATTTTCCTTGCATTTCATACAGTAGCTGGTTTCTGCATTGGTTGGTGAATTTCAAGATTTTGATCACAAAGAGAAAAACAAGTAGAAATTTAAATTTGAGCATAATTTGGAATGTTTAATGAACTAATTTGTGGGCCATGACCAAAACTCTTATATACTTTTTTTTTTGTTGGTAGAATAGATTCGTGAATCACTGTGATTGGGGGGAAAAAATTGCTTTCTTGTCTTATAGTGGATATGTTTTACCAACAAAGCTGTGTAAATGGTCAAAGGACTAACAGTTGGGCTGGAGATTAGGCTTCTGATTTGAGGAACAATTAGTGAAGCATTACTTGTTCAGCCCAGGCCCCCCCACCCTCCCAAAAATACGGAGGGTCAAAAGTAACTTAAAATAAGGAAGGTCAGAAATTTGTTGAAAGCAAAATAATTTCTGTATTAGTTAAAATGATCTGGCTTGTGTGTGTTTGCGTGCAGAGATCTTGTTTATATCTCCTGGCTTCTAATCATTTTATAGCTGTTGATTAATGCATCTTTGCATTTTTAGGGTGCGTAGTTCTTCATTTGGATATGTCAGAAATCCATGCACTTGCATCTACCCTGCTTTATGGAGCTGCTTGTACATACTTATATTGTCATGTTTGTTCATGCTGGTTTTGATGCTTTCTGTAGCTTGAAAACATTGTAAGGCTTTTATTGGAGCTGGAACCTGGGTCGGATCCTGTATGGCATTACCTTAGTATACAGGTGAGAAACTTCTATTCTCGTAAAATATACAACTTGCTTTCTAAATTTGTTTGGAGGATGTAGTAAAATGGTCACTTTCAAGATTGCCTGATACTTTTGGCAGAAAACAACTACTATATACATGAAGTTCCTCAGGGCAAATATATGGCATTCTATGACCTATGTCCTTAGTATAATGACACAAGTACCTGATATGATTGTGGAGATTACTTCCACTGGAACTGAAGTGAACTACTTCTGATGTGGTTTAGATTCCATCTTCCAGTAAAAAGAATTATTTGCGTGATTAATGAATAATTCTTTATTATTTAACTTGAACATTTATGTCTACTTAAAACATTAACACTTGTGGAATGCTAGATTTCTTCAACAGAATTGTTTAACTACAAGGTGGTTATTGTAGACATGACAAAGGAAACCCATAGATTTGCAAATCAGGAAGCAAAATCATATTTTATGGAAACCCTATAATTGATCAATCACTATTAGTAAATCCTGTATTTTATTCTTGAACGTGATTCATCTGTTTATAAAGTCCTGTGATGTACGTAACCAGGCTATAAATTCTAGTAGTTAGATCTCAGCTTCTGAAAGAAATCATTCAAAATAGTAGCAAACTCCAATAGCTTTTTAACTGAAACTGCATGTGTACCCTGCTGCGACATCTGGCCCAAAAGGAGAAGACTACTACTTTTGGATGGATGAATGAATTGATTTGCAAGATTCTGATGCCAAGTCGGTTAACCCATAGTAGCGCAACAAGCAAGCAGAACTCCTAAACAAAACTGAGTAATGAATAAATAAAATGAAATAAATAGGAAGAGGGAGAAAAATAACCAAAGTTCCTATAGAACATATAGGTTTTTCATATACTTCCATAAAATGTAATTTGTATAGTTGAAGTCAATGGACTTATATGAAACTCTGGCCATTTGTCATGGGAGGTACTTGAAAAGAAGCATGAAGTGGAATGAGAAACATTTGAGTAAGAGTGCGTCCAATATATTACATTTACTTTAGTTCTTGATGTATGGTATTTATCCTCATCTCTTTTGAGCGGCAACAACTTTGAACTCTTCATAATTTCAAAAGGATCTGGCAAGTCATACTGTGTTTTTGCAACTCTATAAACCACAAATTTGTCAATGCTAGTTCCACTTCCACACTGGTTGTAGAGAATTTCTTGTTTGATATACTAGTATGTAAGTTGGAAGAATTTTCTGATCACATTGAGCAGCAGGACATTTTGCTGAATTACACTATGTTGTATATTTGTCAGAATCAAAGAATTCGAGGTTTGCTTGAAAAGTGCACTGTAGATCATGAAATAAGAATGGAGGCTTTGCAGAATGCGATGCATGAAAAAGCTCTATCGGATGCAAAATGGAGGCAAATTCAAGAAGACCAGTCTGTAAGTGCAGTTTTAATGACCCTAATATAATTTTTTTTTTCTGATTGCCAATTCATTTAGAAATCCATAATGCTGACATTTTTGGATGTGTGGTTGTCAGTTGGATGCAGATGACACACATGTGGGAGATCAACAAGCACTTGGCATGATTAGCGAAGAAGTTGATGCCCTAAGAGGAAGGTACATCCGTCGGTTGACTGCTGTACTTATCCATCATGTACCTGCCTTTTGGAAAGTAGCCCTTGCTGTTTCTACGGGGAAATTTGCTAAGGTTTTCATCTTTTATCCCGATGCTTCATTGATTATCAATTATAGAGTGGATCTCTTGAAAATTTTTTCTTTTGAATTGGCCTGTGGGTCTAGCGACATCATCAAATTTTGATTTTTATTTTCTTATAATATTCTTCATTTCTGATTTGATGCTTGTGGCATGGTTAAGAGTTGCAGTTTTCTTCTATTTTCTTTTCCTTTAATTGCTAAGCTTATTGCTGGATAAAGGAAATCTCGAGTAATTTTTTTTCGTAATGTTATTTCAAGACTATAATTGATACATTTCTTGAATATTTAGCATCTTAATTTCTAGTTTTATCTGTAAACTTTAGAGAACAGTGTTAGTGATTAGCCAGAAGGTTAGTCCTAAACGTGAAAGGTTATGTTGAGATTAAATGATTTTTTAATTTTTACAGGTATTGGTATTAAGTTCTTTCTTCTGTGATATTTGGAAAGAAAAGCACAATGACATATTTTTAAGCCTTTATGTTTTCCCGTTGCATGAATCCATATACCCTGAATGGGAGAGTGCTCCCTTAAACTTATAACATTTGTTGTACCTGAGTAACTTAATTTGTAAATGTTGGGCGTGACACTATCTAGCATGTGTATTTTTTGGAATTATGATTGTGGGAATTCACATTTTCTTCAACAAGATAGCATGAGACTAGATGGATTGGAGCTTACCAGGTAAAGCTTGAGGATACTTGGGAGTTTTGCCACCAGTTCTCCACAAGTACATGTTGGCCTAAGGATTTAAACTGAACTAAAATAAAGAAAAAATTACCATACCATTAGCATATATTATATATATATGTGTGTGTGTGTGTATTGTTTTCTTTTTTGTTTTACTAATTCAAAGGTCAATTGCATTTCCATCTTTCTCAAATATTAGAATTCTTTGTCATTATGAAAGGATTCCAATGTCATGACGTGATCTTGAGTAGAACATCTACATTTTCTTTGTTGTGCTGATATGCTAATCCGCTGTTGAAAGCTTGGTATTTAAATTTTCATAGCTTACTAGGAATAAATCAACCTTGAAATTTTATGTGATTGTATCTCTGTTTCTTATTTCGAGTCTTCAGAACTATCTTCTGATTCAAGCACTAATAACTATGCAAATAAAATTCAGGAAAAAGTTGCTGATGGAAAGTACTCAAGTCATTCTCTTGATGAAGTTGCTGGGATGATACGCAATACTTTATCAGCTTATGAGTCTAAGGTAAGATTTTCGTAGTAAATTCATTGAAGAAGTGTAATGTGCTCAAGTGCATATTTACCACCACACTGGACATTGATGTGGAATATTTAAGTAAACTCAGATAAAAATTTATAGGTCAAGATGGATGAAGAAGGGGACACATTAGTCATGTAGGTTAATAGACTTTACGGTTTAGTAAAGGCCCAAGAGGTGCACTGGGGTCAAATTTGATGTTCAAGGGAAAGACTGGAACACTACTGCTTCTCCCTTAAATGATCAAAGGCCAAAATACTTTTAATGACACACGTCTTCAACATGCAAATGACTATTGTAGCTCTTACACTAACATAAAGGCAATGAACTGATCATACAAAAGAATCATGCATATCAGCAGTCTCTGCCTGCCCTTCTGGTGACAAGCAGAATCTTGAATACAGCAGTTACAGTGAAGATGTTTAGGCATAGTTTATTTATCCTTTTACGAACCATACCTGAGAGTAAAAAGAGAGAAAAGATTTAGGAGAAAATGAGACTTTCTTCACCCCTTTTTCCTCTGTCATTTCAGTTTCTAGATGACTTTAAAGCCCTTTCCCTCTGTTGAAGGTGCAATGCCACCATAGTGGAGTACTCTTTGAGGACATTGTATATTTTGAAATGAAAGGAACTAGATTTTGTTATCAAAGCAGGAGTCTTGACTCTTGAAAACACATTCAAACATTTTTATTTATTTTCCATATGTCAAGGTGCCACTTGACCTGGTTGAAAGCCATTGCATCCCTTTCCGATCATCTGTGTGGAGTGTTGCTGATGAAACTTAAACATTCAGTAAATGTTTGGCACTTCCTCCTTAGTTCAAGCATCACATCAGCCACATAAGAAACTTTATTTCTCGAGCTTGACTTGTTTGAGCTGAAGTGTCACTGGCTGTACAAATTCAAGGGATAAGTTGGTTATCTCGGCTATTATATATTGTGCGCTTAACCTGTTTTTAAGGTTCATGTTGGTCTATCCAAGTACATTTATTATATGCATAACCTGTTATTTTAGGTCAGTTAAGCATTTATGCTCTTTAGAGCATGTTTCTTCTGATTGTTCCTTGTTTTTAGCATTCTTCCTTCAAACGCTTGAATATTAGATGAAAACACCCTTAAATGTTCAAAGTACTTGTCCAGGTTCTCAACACATTCCGTGACCTTGAAGACTCCAATGTTCTTCGGCCATCACTGATTGCATCTCTAAAAGAGATATCTAAAGCATGCCAAGCTTTCGAAGCAAAAGAATCAGCACCTTCTATTGCTGGTATTCGCATATCCTCTTTTTCTTCAGGTTATTATCTTTGAAATTGTTTTAATGTATTTTGTAATAATCTACAGTAACAGTTCTCCGAGCGCTTCAGTGTGAGATTACAAAAATATACATTCTACGGCTCTGCTCATGGATGCGAACTTCAACAGAAGAGATATCGAAAGATGAATCTTGGGTGCCTGTGTCTATTTTGGAAAGGAATAAATCTCCTTACACTATCTCTTCCCTGCCTCTGGCATTTCGTGCATTTATTGTGTCAGCAATGGATCAGATCAATGAGTAAGTATGAAAATATTTCTTTGTTACTTGTTATTGGAGAGAATTTCCCTACTTTGCTAGAAAATTCTTCAACCGTTGTAGAATTGGGTTAGATCATGAATTACAGAGGTATTGTAAATTTTATCTTGAAGTCCCTGAGGTGAGACACCTCGATATGCATAAAGATTAATTATTGCCCTTTTCTTGGTTATGTTTTGTATGTTAGTCTGCTCACGCTTGAATGGAAGCACCTACAATCCAATACCATAGGACTTCTAAGATCTTCACCATTGCCACACTGCTAGACTGCTGCTCCCTTGCCCTTCTCCCCGAGCCTATTCTAACCCCATCCCACCTCATCCATGCACCCAACCCATGCAATAGAAAGGAAGGTGCGGGCCCGGGGGGGGGGGAGGTGAGAATGCAGAAGTGTATAGGACGCATGGAGTTGCAGGGGTTTTTTTTTTTTGGTGAATGTTTGAAAGTATGTTTGAGATTATTATGAACTTGGTCCATTCTGAACGTCTTAGCATCTAACAATGTTTGCAACTGTCTTATTTCGTATCATCCTTGTAATGCAGTTATTTAATTTTTAACCTTTTAGGATGATTCAGTCTCTGAAGAATGAGGCGACGAGGTCAGAAGACATCTTTTTGCATCTTCAAGAAATACAAGAATCTGTTAGAATTGCCTTTCTAAACTGTTTGCTGGATTTTAATGGTATGAACATAAGTTGATGCTTCATTGGTGGAAATCATAGCCGAAAAAATGGAACCTTAATTAGTGTAGTTTCTGATTGTATTAGTTCATCTGGAGCAAATTGGCAGCGAGCTTGCAGAGAACAGAACAAGCAAAGGAAGTCCAGGTTTTGTAAATGGTTATTCTAGTGAATTTCAAGAGAAATCATTTGATCCCCTTCCAGGAAGTGTCACCGATGCACATCAACAGCTGCTGATGGTCCTGAGCAATATTGGATACTGCAAAGATGAACTTGCTCGTGAATTACACTTCAAGTACAAACAGATATGGCTCCCTCCAAGGTAGTTAAATAGTCCCTTGACTTGAATGTTTCCTGGGACCAAAACTTCTCTTATGTTTTGTGTGATACTAGGCTTCTCTGTTGTGTGTAAATCATTTTTAAAATGACTAGTGCGACCCAGAAAGAGGGTTGATGCAATTGCTAGCAATATGGTTGTGAATGACTTGTCTAAGCTGGATTGAATGTGGCATTTATATTTTTTGTTACATTTGCACAATTTTTTTCATCCACATTGGTTGAGGCAATATTTTGTTTGGGTTGTCTTTCAATCAATCTATAAATCCACTAATATCTGCTTACCATGATTTTCAATTAGTTTGCTAGTGTTCTCCCAACCGTTACCCCCTGCAAAGCAGATGGCAAGGAAAAATGTCTAAAGAAGAAGAAATTGCTAGCCTCTTCCTATGTAGTCTGAATGATAATCCTGAGTAACCTTTCCTAGGACACAAGAAAAAGTATCAGATTATCAGCCAGAGCAGAATTAGAAATTTACAACCCTTTTCTCCTCTATTTGTGGGATGCACATGTGTACTCTTTATTATACCTCTTTCGAAGTTCTTATTATGTTGGGTAATGGTTGAGTCATGCTGGAAAGGTAGCTTTTCTGATTCAAACTTGTGGTTGCACTTGTGACGGTGGGCTAATTTATCCATGTCCATTAGGGTAAAAGATGAGGAGGACACTGACATTCAAGAGTTGATTATGTCTTTCTCTGGACTTGAAGAAAAGGTGCTTGCACAGTATACTCTTGCAAAGGTATGAGCATTTTTGAGCATTTACAAATCTTTGGATGCCTTTAAAAATTGTACAGCTGTATTCTCCAGTACCTGATCTTCTATATGCACCTACTGCTTTGTCTAATTGATGGAACTTACAGTTTAAATTTTATTTTTTTTGAGTTAAAACTTAAACTTTTAGTTGTTTGATTCTGTGATGGACAGTAGTAGAATATTAATCTGAGATGACCATTTTATCATCAGTTATATATGGAATCAGAAGTGTGCAGCTTCCTTCGCCTGCTTGCGATTGCGATCCTGTTTAGATGGGAAGGTGGTTAGTGAGGTTCAGGAAACACAATCTGTGCCCATGGCTGAAAAGATAACTGTAGTGAGAAAATTAGCAGGATAAGAAACTCTGTCTAATATAATCTTTGCTGTTGGAGCAAGTGTCCATGTCCAGTGGATGCTCATCTGACTGTCATGCATTTATCCATTATCCTTACTCCAACTAGGTTTTTGAGGAACTTGGAGACATGTATCTATCTTTAGTGTAAAAATTGATGACTGGTCATGTCGGCTATCTGTGCACACACAGTTCTTCATTTTTTTTTCACTTTGTTACCCCTATTTTGGATCAAATCTGAGATGTTTTTGTTGTTGTGGGTCAAATGAGTTGGTAGAAGATGTCATTGCACAAATGACGAAGTGAGACGAAACAAGTAATCACATCTATATCAAAATCTTCTTGACCTAATATATATAGACAAACACACACATAAATGTATTTTTGGTTCTGTTAACATGTTCAGATCTGCCTTTCTACTAAAAGCGACAATGTTCTTTTAGGAATTAATTGACCTTCCCATCAAAGTAACTGTTGATGAGTTAATTTATACTGCAACCATGACAACTAAGATTGTCCAAGAAAAACACACTGCTACTTTTTGTGCCTGCCTCGTAAAGATTTACTGAAATTTATAGAATATTGTATCTTGAGGATTGGGCTTATTGTATAACCTTTATATTCTTTTACTGAAGCTAATCTTAAATCCAGAAGTATTTTTTTATGTGCTACCATAAAGGTGAGGTCCCATTGCAAGCTTTTAACAAAATGCATATTCAAGAAATCTGGTAAGAGGAAAAAAAAAATCGATGGACATTCATAGACTTTATATGTTTGAACCTTGCAAAACTTTTATTTGTGAAGGATAAATTGGAGTGCATATAGAGCTTGGCAAGCGGTTGAATATGATAGCAAAATTAAATGGGTCTGGTTTAACTCTCTCATGTATGATGGTAGCATAGTAGACAACTCCATTTCTTCCTATTATTAATGCTGGACCTCCTTGCACTGGAATTTTTTTTTTTTGGGTCAACTGTTTGTCTTAGACAAACTTGATCAGAACAGCTGCTGTGAACTATTTGCTGGATGCTGGAATTCAATGGGGCGGAGCACCTACTGTCAAAGTGAGCACACACTTTATTCTCCTCTGACTTTTGTTTCTTTTAGGTTTCAAAGACATGTTTGTTTAATTACTTTTCTGTATGCTTGCAGGGTGTGCGAGATGTGACTGTGGAGTTGCTGCACACTCTGGTGGCTGTGCATGCTGAGGTACTTTTACATGCTTTTCCAGGCTCATTGAAAACCTTTCTGTTATGATGTATGCCTAGCTGATGGTTCTTGTTGGTTCTATGTCTATATTGGCTTTATGGACCATAAGGAACCAAAAATAGTCAAGTCTGCAGTTTCGCTGACAATTTGGTGGATATTCTCAAGAAAAACTAATTGTTAAATATTCTGACATGTCATGCCAAATCATTCTTTTAATTCTCAATTGCAGGTTTTTGCTTGTTGTAAGCCTTTATTGGATAAGACGCTTGGTATCCTTGTTGAAGGCCTGATTGACACTTTCCTGAGCATTTTCCATGAGAACAAGATGAAAGATTTTAGGGCATTGGATGCAAATGGTTTCTGTCAGCTCATGCTTGAGGTGAATTGATAATTGTTCTTTTAGTTCTTTTTAATACTAATTTTGTAATTTTTATTGATGTAAGGCACTGAGCTTTATGAGGTTAGAAGGCCATACACTCCATCAAGTTGTTAAAGTGATATAACCCCACAAGGAACACCCCTTGCTCAAAGACCAATCCTTAGCCTTTACAAATTCTTGTAAATGTGTCTTCAACGCAATAACTAATTATGTCTGCTACCCATGTTGTAGATATTTCCCATGCAGTTGTTAGTCGGTTCGGTTCATGATGATCTAATGCCAATTGAAAGTGGTAGAATGCAATGGACTGACAACTTGTTTCAGTTTTTCACTTCATTTTCTGTGGGAGGCTTGTGGGATGGTGAACTGGGTGTGGAAAAGGGTAGAAGGGAAATATAAGTAGAAAGGGGAAAACTACCAGAAAAGGAAAGACACTAGTGTATTTTACCTTCACAGACGTTGTTGAAAGTTATAAAGAACTTTTGCAAACAAAAGAAACAGAACTTGAATTTCATGGTGTATTCTTGTTCGGTGTTAATCAGCCATATTCAATTTCTCTCTCCATGATGCTTCAGAATATTGTTTATTCTAACAGTTGAATATGGTCTTGAACTTTCTGCAGCTGGAGTATTTTGAGACAATATTGAATCCATATTTTACTTCAGATGCAAGAGAATCTCTGAAGTCTTTACAAGGAGATCTATTGGAAAAAGCAACCGAGAGCGTCTCAGAAACTGTTGAAACTCCAAGTCATCAACGTCGTCCTACACGTGGAAGTGATGATGTCATGGCTGATGAAAGGCAGCAAGGAATGACTGTCTCTCCAGATGACCTAATAGTAACTCTCTGTTTTTCTTGCAACATTCTTGGACCTCTTGGCCAGGAGTTTATGCCTTTTTTTTTTTTTTTTTTATGTTTCAGATGTTTGCTTTCGCTTCAAATCTTCCCCCCTACATGACAGTTACTTTGCTTCAAGATCAACTCATATCTTGAAAGATGATTTTCATAATAATTGTGCCTCAGGCTTTCTTTTTGGTTCAATGTTTATGAAAAATGATATTATTGATTTTTTTGTTCTTGCTTCCAAATTGGCTTTGATTCTTATAGGCACTTGCCCAGCAGTATAGTGCCGAGCTCCTTCAAGCTGAACTTGAGAGGACGCGTATTAATACAGCATGTTTTGTGGAATCAATTCCTCTAGACTCGGTTCCAGAATCAGCAAAAGCAGCTTATGCTTCTTTTAGAGGGCCAATGGACTCTTTTAGAGGAGGAATGGATTCTCCCAGTCGAAATTTTAGAAGCTCTCAATCTTTTGGGTCCCCAAGTTTCTCCAGGCATAGGCGTAGATGATTAACTTTGTGATTCTTGTTTAATTCTTTTTCAACCGCATTCTGTAATTTGTTGTATTCTAGTTAATTCATAAATCCTTCCCCACTACGAAATTTTCCTAGCTGGCCCTGTCTATTCTCCTCCCATTTTGCATCAAGAGCATGATTTTGTACGAGTTTTTATTACGCCTGAATTGTTACAGATTGAAACTGTAAAATATTTCTCTGTTGGCCAATTTGTTAATTGAGAGCTGTTTGATTGGAGTTGAGGGCTCTTGCCCTATAAAATTTGACTCGTGTACCTGATCTGCTTATTGCAGTCATCTTAAATCAACAAGTAAGGCTACGATGAGTACTACCACAACCATTTTCAATAGCCAACATGATGAACGAATAGTTAAATGGAGAAAGCCCAAATCAACATCTTCCCAAACATAGGTTCAATCGATGAACTAAGATTTGATTGTACAATCCAACCAAAAATAAAATTTTTTTTTTTCTTGCATTCAAATCTCATTCCATTGATCATTGCTGAATCTGCTTCAAGTCAGTCATTCTAAAACTGACAAATAATGAAAAGGCAAGCAATACAGTAGTAGTAGTAGTAATACGACACTAATGAAGAGAAGATCCTCCTCTTCCTCAAGCTGTCCTAAGCGGTGGCGACACCAAGATAACGCCATCTCCTCTTACAAAGAGAAACGGAACATTACGCTTTGTGGTCTGCAGCAGGTAACATACCAATGTTAGAAAGCAGTGTACAGATAAACAGAACTTTTTTTGTTTCTTAAGAAACACAATTTAATACATCATTTGCAACACACTTCCTTTTACCCAAATAAAAGCACAATTCTTCCACTTAAAATTTTGGCTGATCAGTGTAATTCAAAAAAAAAAATCTGGGGTATATTTTGGAACTAGTGATGGCCATTTTCATACAAGTATAAGCAAGATGTTGCTTTTAAGTAACACTGCTCTCATCAGGAAAAATCTGTTTGCACCAGTGCTCTACGTGATGTTTCTCTCTGTCTTCTTTTGTCTATATTTGCCTGTTTATATGGGGGAAGAAACTCATTGGTTCTAAGCAAGCATGGAGAAACTTATGTACTATATACATACACAAAGAGGTACACACATTTAAGCCACAGAATTGACTAGTCTGCATGTACAAAAAGACATCAACTACTGTTCAGATTTTTTTTGTATCTTGCAGATATCCTATTTCGTCAACTCTTTTTACAAATTATCGAGTCATCAGTGCTTTGATATAGGGACCAAGAGTAGAAATTAGAGACTAACTCCTCTCATGCCATACCTGCCTAAAGAGAATCTTCACAATATCGAACTTTGCATTTTTTACCTTCTAATCTTGTGCTTGCAGCAATTTATGCACTTGCATTCATCTTGGCTAACTATAATTTATTTTAATCATTTATGTATCCTTGTGTCATGACATGGACGTGATAAAAGTGGTCATTCGGCACACTCATACTAGATAGATATCTCATATTGAATGATAGTTTCCTCAAGGGAGCAACAGAAGTAATGCTTCAACAAAACAAGGTACTTGGTGAAGAAGCCAATAGTGAAAACTTGCATAGTCAGCTATCTCTATGCCATGAAAGTGAAATTGCTAATCAGCTAGGTTAGATAGGAGTGAGACTATAAGCAATCTTTTTTCATATCAATAGAAGGAAGAATTTCATCTTCCCAGCCCCATTCTCTTGCCTAAAATCCCATTTACTATGTCCCAAAATCTTATTAACTCTATTTCCTTCTGTCAACATAATCTATCAAGTTGTAAACCCCTTCCACTTTCTTTCCTTCTGTCAAACATACTTATCATGCATTTATGGTTCATACTTTAGACAAGGCGGCAGTTAAACCGCTCAAGGCATCAAAAGAAAAAACACAAATTAAGCAACACGAGATAAAAATATGCTTACCCTGACAATCTCCTCATAAGTCTCATCATCAATCTCCACTGTTGTAACAACTTCTTCAACATCGCCAAGTATCATGTTTAGATGCTGATCATAGGCCTGAAAATTTTCCAACACACAGAAGAATATAAATTGCAGGACAGCGTGGACTATATACTTAACATATTTATCAGAAGAGCGGCAAATAATTAAAAATAGAATAAATCTACGGTTTGTATAGAAATCCAGTTACCTTGAAATCTGCGTGAGGAAAGTAAGCAAGTCCAAGAGGCATGAGTTGGCTAACAAGAATCTCTAATTCCATCACCACAAACATCACATTGCATAATCTCAAACAGTCTACCCAGACCCCATTCTCAAAGATCTGGTCAATATGGGCTTAGAAGGACTATATGCAGCAGCCTCACCATATACTGACTAATTAGAATGATTAAAACTTTTTTCAATCATCAACCCAGGACATACTTTTATAGTCAATACATCACCGGAAACGAAGGTGAATTTTAAAAAGTTCGCAGACTGCAGTCAGGTAAATAAACCCCATAAACTCAGAAAACCCACATACTCTTTCTTCTCTTTCCTCCCCTTTCCACCATGACAAAATCTCTGAAATAGAATAGCTCGACTGCCCAAAAATAGATTTTTCTCTCTTCTTCTTTTTATTTGTTTTCACTCTACTGCTTAATAGCGAAGTACTCCTCTTAGAAAAAGAGTTTGCTTCAAAATTACCAAACGGCAAACAAATAAATCAATCAATCAATTGAATCCATATTGTCTACGTGAACGTCTCCACAGACATTAAATTACATTCTTTTGACTTCTTTCTTCCTTTTAATTGATTCTACAGTCTTTAATTTCCTATCGAACCCAAAAGGGTTTGCTGCAAAATCGCCAAAATTGAAAAAAAAAAATCATCAAAAGCAGAACTTTGATCCAATCCAAGTGAATCCACTGCAGAATGTTGCATAAAAACATAAAAAACTACTCTCTTGGCTTCTTTTTTCCCTTTTCTTCCTTTCGATGTGGCTTGAAAAAAATGCTCAATCACAAATTACTCGTAAAACCCAAAGGGCACGCTCCCAAAAATCAAAAACAAAACTTTAATCGAACCCAGTTGAGCGAGCTTTTGCACATACAAATGCATACAAACAAGAAAATAGGTAGCTTTTGAACACATACAAAAATAGGTAAACAAAACAAGAAACAGACCCAAAAAATAATAATAATAATCAAGAACCGGAAAGAAGCATACATGGAGTTTGCCGCGGAGTTCACGGTCGTGGCGGAGCTTGACGTAGATGCGCTCGTCGAGGCTCAGTCTGATGAGGTCCAATGGCTCCTTCACTGCACTCTCTTCCTCCGTGCTCCCCATTTGTCTACCACCTCCAATTCCCCCCTTTTTTGATGATTACACACTTTTAGTTTGTATTTTGCTATGTTGCCTTTGGTTCTATGCTACTGCTTAGTAACCAAAACTATGACCCTCTTTGGTCTTTTACTAAATAACAACATTAACCCTCCTAATACTTGGAGTATGTGGATTTGTGTGCACACTTTGAAGTAACTACTATTTGACCCTCAAAGGAAAAAAAAAAAGTTACTACTACTTGTAAGGGAAAATGGCCAATTTCGTCCCTATACTTTTTTATAGTGTCAATTCAATCCTTATATAATTTTTTTGGCCAATTTGATACCTATACTTATTTTGCGGTACCAATTGAGGAACGCTGCGGCGGCGCCACCACGTAAATTCGATTAACCTACTAATTGAACAACTAAGCAGGGGTATTTCGGACACTTCACTGCTGGGTTGAACCGTTCTTCCAAGTTCCAACTTCGAAAGGCAGAAAGAAGGATAAAAAAGAAGCAAAAGACAGCAACTCTTCCATCACTCTCCCCAGTCAATTATCGTCCCCATAGCCTGCAACCATCGTCTTCTTCAATCCTTTTATTTATTTCCAAATAATCTCCGCAACCCATTAAAGAAGGGGTGGTTTGGAAGTTGCCAGAGGAAACCATAAGAGGGAGGAAGAAAGGGAAAATACAAAAAGAAGTCCCAAAAATGGCTGCACAGAAACGAACTTCAATTCCTCAAAGTGGTGAGGAGCATTCTGCCCCGCATTCCAGCCGACCGCGGCGTAAACAATCGCGTAGGATTGGAGGTGATCAAGCGGCGAAGATGGCAGCTGATCAAGAACCACAACTGCAGAAGCTGCAGCAGCAGCCAGTTCAAGAAGCCGAAGATCCGCCACCACCTCAGGCCCCTGATGATCAGGAACCAGTTCAGCCGAATCCAGATGAAGGTAGCTAAATGGGCGTCTAATTCGAAATCCATATTGTTAGCATTGATTTTTGGATTGGTTTTTGATGCTAGTTATATGCGCAGTAGTAAAGAGTTGATTTTGACTAATTTGATTGTTGAATTTGTCAAACTTTTTCAGATTCTGCTGGAAGTGGTACTGACCCGTGAGGAAGATTCGGGTCTTTTGTTACGATTTGAATGCTACTGATACTGATTCATTAGATGATGAAAGGGTGATTGAAAAGAATTATTCTCCCTATTGTGGAGTTGAAAAGGCAACCTGGTTAGCCTGTGGCTATGGCTGTTGCACAGGAAGCTAAAAATTCCTGTCAAGAGCAATAATGCGGAGAAAAACAACCCCAAGAAGAAGACTGGTTTAGCTAAACTGTAGAGTTAACCTCAATCAAGGCCTTCCTCTTCCAAATACAAAGGTCTCAGGCAGAGGAAATGGGGAAAATGGGCTGTAGAAATTCACAACCCGTTTAAGGGAAAGAGGATCTGGTCGGGTTATTATTTTATAAAGGAAGCTTCAAGAGCCTCTGAAGCGAAACGACTTGAATTTGAAGCTAGGGCCATGGTTGATCAAAATGCGTCTGAGAAGTGTTTAATGTCAATCATGAATATAATAATCAGTCTAGCTCAATGGCGGTTTCCCAGCCACATAATCAAGATGACATTCCTTCTTGTGTATTTGAGGACTCTGCTGAAAGCCTGGTCTCGCGTACGTCACCAGCATCTGTCCTCGAGTTGGAGTGAGATGGATCTGTTACTCCGGCTATGGATCTGTTACTTCGGCTATGGCTTCTGTGGATGGTGATAAGCAAGATGAAGAAGAAAAGGTGAAAAATGAAGAAGCGGTGAAGTGTCCGAAATACCCCTGCTTAGTTGTTCAATTAGTAGGTTAATCGAATTTACGTGGTGGCGCCGCCGCAGCGTTCCTCAATTGGTATCGCAAAATAAGTATAGGTATCAAATTGGCCAAAAAAATTATATAAGGACTGAATTGACACTATAAAAAA